TTTCAACCACATATTCTTTAATAAAATCATATTTTCTATCATATCAATAATTTTTCTTTCTTTTTCAACCACAAATTCTCCATCAATCTACTATTCCAGAATACATTCTTCCAAAATAATGTGGCTAAAAAAGAAGGTAATTTTAAGTAGTTTCATGGTCAATAGATGGAGGGTTAATTGTACTGAAGTTCACTACACTTTCAACCACCTACAAATAGATCACTAAACTTCAATTGCCAGCAATTGAGTCGTCGAAACTTCAATTTAATAATAATTAGGTCTCTCCATTAGTGGTTATTACAATACGTAATAGAAGTTGATGACATGGATATTAAAGCTAACGGCGGATGATATTGACTTTGTTGTATAGTGCCTTAAAAGTTGATTACTCATAAGCGTTATTTCAAGGAGGTTTAGACCATTCGTACAGAATGGTTTGTACAGAAGTTGAACATAATACTCACATGGGGTGTGGGCCCCATGTGAGTAAAATATTGTCAAAAAATCACCCTTGTGTCTTAGTTTGTACAAATTCTGTACAAATAGCATAACTCGCGAGGAATACCACAAACATGGACAAACAGGTTCAGAAATTGTATGATGCGGCGACTCTATCTAGAATTTTAAGCACATTTTGATGAATTTATTATCAAAATTATATATCTTTCTATATATAAAATATTTTTCAGCATGTGACGTTTTGATGAAAAAGTAACATTTTTGGATAAGTTTATGACCGTGATATTTTGGACAAGTGTATGACAAAGAATGTGACTTTTTGACGTGTATATATATAATATTTTTCAGCATGCGACTTTTGGACTTTTTTGACAAAGAATGTGACTTTTTGTATTTAAACTGTGTTTGATGCACATTAAAATGAAAATAATGTATTTTTTTTTTTTTGTGACGTGATAGTGAATATATAGTTGAAAAAAAAGAAAAAATTATTGACGTGATGAAAAATATTATTTTATTGAAGAATATAAATGAGTAGAAAAATAAGAATGTTGTTCAAACAGGGAGGTTGCCAGAAATTTTAGAGCAAGAAAAAAAAAGTAAATTGAAGCTTAAAAAGGGAAGAGACCGGTCAAATTCTGATCACATTGGTCAACGGTTTTTGCTCAAAAACTGGCGGGTTGTTCGATATGCCAGGATAGTTTGTTGAGCGGTCAAATAATAAGACACAGACCAGACCGATAGCCGGCTCAGTCCAGGTTCTAAAACAGCGCAAGATATCAACGGTCAGCCTCCTACCCCACAGACCCCTCCTGTCCCTCAAATTTAAACTTCCCTTTGCCTACCCAGTCAGCCCCTGTCTCCTTTCCTTCCTCCATCGTACAAAAGGAAGAACAGAAAGCTACGGGTTAGGAGATTGATCAATAATCCCCTCAACCAGCATTGAATCCTAGTTGATACAGTTAGGGAATAAGAGTAACTTTACTAGATAAGCATAATGCATTATTAACACTATAACTTCCAAGTTCAGAACAAGATGCAGCATATCAGTTTCATAAAAGTTGATAAAAAGCAGAACCTCAGAAGCTAAAAGTAGCTTA